CCTGCACTGACTGTGTGACATCACCACGTGTTCTGGCTTGTGTTCCACGCCTCTTTTCAACTCTCAACACGCTCACTTTCTGTTACCGTCTGCCACCAAACACCACACACACACACACACACACACACACACACACACACACACACACACACACACACACACACACACGCACACACACACGCACACACGCACACACATATACGCACACACAACAGGAATCGGCCACCATTAGCACCACCACCACCACCACCACCACCACCATTGCTGGCCTCTCGATCGCCACATCGTTCGCGCAAGACCCCTCGCCGTCGCCGCCCACTGCCCGTGCACATACAGCTGCCAGATGTGCCTGCAGGCATGCAGGCAAACACGAGCGCGCGATTGCCCGGTTCTGGACGAGCAGCACAAGGGCGGGTAGGTACAGACACGGGGGAAGCCACAGCGATGATTGCTGGGCAGGACGAAGACAGCAGCGATGATGGTCTTGGCGTACGCGGTCGTAACGGTGGTGTTGGCCATGGTGGCGGTGTTGGGAAGCGGAGAACAGCAGCACGCGCACATATTACGGAAGGAAACGGCAATTACAGCAGCGACGGTGGCGGTGATGGTACTGACCTCCATCACCATGATGATGACAATGACGTAACCGAGATGATTCAAGGCGAGGACAGTGATGTGGCCGGTATTCAGATGAATAGCGGTCACGATGGCGGAGGCAGTGCTGACGGTGGCAGGGGTGCACGGCGGCAGCAGCGAAAACGAAGCAGCGCAAGGAACCAGAACACGATGCGTGCGCACGTGTGTCGGGATAAGGCGGTGGAGACTGGAGCCACACGCGCACCTCTTCGTGCCACACATGCCGGGTGCCGTGCTGCGTTCCAGCAGGCAGGCCTCTCCATGCTTGCAGGGCGTGGGGGTGCAGGCGTGATCCTGCACAGCCGTGACCTCCTGCACACGTCAACGTTCATGTCAACGCCCCAATCCACCAACAGCGACGATGACGAACGCGGCTTTGATGCTTGCACAGCAAGCCAGCGGCTACAGAGAAGGTACGGTACCGCCAGCACCAACACTGGCAGCAGCAGCACCAATAACAACAGCGCCAATAACAACGGCACCAGTGACAACAGCAGCAGCAGTAACATCAGCGATAGCAGTGTCAGAACCGGTTCACTGTTGGGCGTGCTTCATCAGCAAGTGCACTCGCGCATGTGTGCACATCGCCGCTTCTTCCTGCGCGCACGTGGGATTGCGTCGCTTGAAGAGCGGGCGGCGCTGTTTGAAGCCGAGGTGCTGTGCAGTACAGCGCTTGCTGCAGCAGACACCAACAGGAGCCAAAGTGGCGGTACTGATACTGACCGTGGTGGTGATGACACTTCTGGTGGTGATGATGGTGATGGTGATGATGATGATGACAGTGGTGGTCGTGGTCGTCGTCGTCGTCGTGGTCGTGGTCGTGGTGGCGGGGATGCGGCTGGTGATGTGGTTGGTGGCGGTGTCCGCAACAGACCGAGTCGTGGTGGTGACGTTGTTGAGTATGCCAGTGACGACGATGATGACGAAGGCACCAGTGATGACGGTGGGCAGGCCGTGTTGCGTGAACCACCGCCACCGCCACCACCACCAACTGCAGCCCTCGCACATGCACGAAGAAGAACAAAGCGAGCACGAGGAGCAAAGGCAGCACGGAGACGGCGAAGCGGTACACTGGTGTCTTCTTCCTCCTCCTCTTCTGCTTCTTCTGCTGCTTCCAACGACAGCAATAGTGACAGCGGCAGTGGTGGTGGTGGTGGTGATGGTCGTCGTCGTCATTGTCGTGATGGTGGTGACGATGACAGCGGCACCAGGTTGCGACATGTCTTGTCTGATTCGAGCGATGATTCGAGTGCCGCTGAGACGTGTGGTCCAGCCCCAAACCCGACACGTCACACCGGTGGTGGTGGTGGTGGTGGTGGTGGAGGCGTGACAACCACATCAACAGCAGGCAGGCCAGTGACGACTACTACAGCAGCACCACCAGCACCAGTACCAACAAGAATAGCGGGAGTGACAACAGCAGCCGGCGCGTCTCAAGCGCAGGAAGGGCAAGCACATTCGCAACAACAGCGCCCGTTTGTCAGCAGCATGAATCTGCTCGCTTGCTTTGATGAGGCCGAGGACGGTTGTGGTGATGATGTTGGGAATGGTCGTGATGGTGGTGGTGGTGATGATGATGATGATGGCGATGCCAAACGCGGTGGCGGGGACATGCACATGGACATCGCTGCTTCAAGTGGACACATGCCCACAGGTGAACACAGCAGCACGCGCGCGCACGTTCGTGACGCGACGCAGCATGACGCTGAAACCCAACTCGCCAGGCCAGCAACCCTGATGCTGTGGCAAGATGATGACGATGACAACGACCACGGTGAAGATAGGGATGGGGTTGAGTCAGGTGGAAGTGGAGGTGGCCGTGGTAGTGCTGGTGGCAGTGGCAGTGTGGCCGCAGCACATGCACCTGGGAACGGGCGTGAGTTGAGTCCGGCTGTCGATCGCCGTTCGCCCTCGCCCGAATTCACCCCGCGCCGACCAAGACGCCGCCAACGGAGACCAGGTGTTTTGCGCTTGAACAACAAATATGCGCGCTGACTGAGTGCGTGTGTGTGTGTGTGTGTGTGTGTGTGCGTGCGTGTGTGTGTGTGTGGGTGTGAGTGTGAGTGTGGGTGTGTGTGTCACTTTATGTCTTGTTCATTTGTTTGTTTACTTTTACTGTGCGCAGGCTCACTTTCTCGGCGCTAACATCGTCTCCTCCCCTCCCTATCTCCCTTCCTCCGTGTCATGGTCGTGCAGGCTCGTCCTCGCAGCAAGTGCAGCGCCATCCTGCGGCAGTTGAAGCGCCACCAATCAAGCAGTCGCCACATCACAGCCCCGCTGCGCCAGCTGACCTGGACGCGGGCAACGCTGTCACTCGTGAACACCAACAACCACGACACCAAAACCGACACCACCAACATCACCAACCACATCGTGACCAGCACCATCAGCTGCAGTGCCGCAACAGCGCTGGGTTGGATGCAGACAGTGCATCTGAGGATCTTGGTGGCGGTGATGATAGCGGCAGCGACCAACAGGAACAACCAAGCGAGTGGTTATCACCCCTGTCAAACGCGCGACAGTGGGGCGATACTGCACACCAACTTGCTGCTGGTGGTGGTGCCAGCCGTGATAGTGATGATGGGGGTCATTGTGGTGGTGGTGGTGGTGTTGATGATGAGGATGGTGATGATGATGATGATGCACTGACGGGTCGATCGCTGCATCTTGGGACGCTGCTGGATGACGACGAGGATGACAAGCGCAACACGCCACCGGACATTGAAGATGTGGTAAGATGCATTGTGTGTGTGTGTGTGTGTGTGTGTGTGTGTGTGTGTGTGTGTGTGTGTGTGTGTGTGTGTGTGTGTGTGTGTGTTGGGGGTCTAGGTCTGGGTGAGAACCTTCCTGGAGCAGTGATCGTACCTGACAAGTGTGAACAACACAATTCCATTCAAACGCATTGTTCCTCGTGCACTTACACACGACACCACTTCGTGTGCATCGTGTTGCTGAATCCTGCTTGTTGTGCCCAAGACTCCATTTACCACGACGTCCCATCCACGCCCTCCAGCAACAACGACAGCAGCAGCAGCGACAGCAAGGGGAACATCGCCAGGAACGGGTGGGCGGCCGGTGGGTGTTGTGGACACAATCGAGACGCAATGGACGCAGGCAACGGCGCCGTCGCAACTGCGCCCAACAACAACATCAACAGCAGCAACGCCTAATGATGCCGAGCCATTATCATCAGCAGCGGCAGCCCATGTTGGTGGTGTGTATGCTCTTCATGACAGCAGGCAACAGCAGAAGCCGTCCAAGAAGAAGAGCAGGCAAAGCCGCCCGCCAGCACTTGATGTGGTGCTGGTGGATGAGGACGATTTCGTGTCGACGCCAGTGTCAAGCATCGTGCGACGGTGTGTGTGTGTGTGTGTGTGTGTGTGTGTGTGTGCGTGTGTGTGTGTGTGTGTGTGTGTGCGTGTGTGTGTGTGTGTGTGTGTGTGGTGTATGTGTGTGTGTGTGTGGTGGTGGTGGTGGTGGTGGTGGTGGTGGTGGTGGTGTGTGTTTGTGTGTCGTGGATGTCGTGGATGTCCTGAATGTGTGTGTGTGTGTGTTTTGGACTTGCGTGCCGCCCAGATAAGGTCTTGTTCCCACTTTCATGCAATTAGTCCTTGCTCGCACACGCGACCCGCGGCCTACCATTCACGTTAACACACTCCTCTCTCTTCCTCTCCCTGGCTCGCAGAAAACGACTTCACCGGAAGAGCAGGACACGGACACAAGCGCAGCAACAACTGCAGCAGCAACAACAGCACAAGAGCAGTGAGGAAGACAACAATGACGGTGGAGATAGTAGTGGAGATAGTGGTGGCGATGGTGACTACAATACGGGCGATACGGACAATGTGGTGTCGGGTGGCGATCTGCGCGCGAAGCGGCGTCACACAAGCAGGGACAGTAGCGGTGACGACTACGGTGACGGCAGCAGCCGTGTTGTCGCAATGAAGAAGCACAAGTCCATCACAGAGCAACTATTGGCTGGTCCAGGTGTGTCAGTTTTGGCGTACACAATGGTTGCGGTTGTTTGGTTTGGTCATAACTCATTTGCTTCATTCGTTGCCTGTGTTGATTCTTTGTTGGCAATCACGGTTTGAGAACTTCCGCGCATACACTCACGTAAACACACACACACACGTAACAACAAACGCTCGTGCACACACACACGCACGCGCGCTGTGCCTCACTTTTCCCTCACACTTTCCCATCTCCCACCCCGTTTCACTCATCGGCATTCATCTCCCCCCCCCTTCTCCTCCCACGCACACACATCGGGTGCAGGGGTGCGTACACGCCCCGATCCGAATGCAAGGCCGAAATCGCGAGGACAGAGACTTGTAGAGGACATTGTAAAGCCGACAACACCACTGTCACGCACGCCCGCAGCACTGGCGTTGCAGGAGGAAGGAACGCTGGGTGACTCGCTCAATCTGTTTGCTGATGACAAAAGCGATGGCAAAGTTGGCGGCGGTGGTCGTGGCAAGCGTGGCGGTGGTCGTGGTCGTGCTGGGTCGTCCACAGCCTCGTCATCGCGCTTGGGCGGCATCATCAGCGACAGCAGTGATGACAATGATGATGGAGATGACGCAAGCGGGCTCCTGTTTGATGCAATCGGGCAGCGGCGCAGTCGCCTGCGCAACTCTGCCCGGCCCAAGGGCAGGACCAATGCCACCACGCGCACTGCCCTCGGAGACGAGGATATGCGGGCGTCGTTCAATGTTGGGAGTCGGTTGAACTTGGCGGCACCCCCAGATGTGCTCGGTGACTTTGACAACAGCGATGATGAGTACACAGCTGTTGGTTGTGGTGATGGTGAACAAGGCGAGGTGGAGTATGACAGTGATGGCCTTCCTCTTAGTCCTCTTCGCTACAACGGTGCGAGCGCGGATGTGCGTGCGTGTGCGTGTGCATGAATGTATGTATGTGTGTGCGTGTGCATGAATGTATGTGTGTGCGTGTGTGTGCGTGCGTGTGTGTGTGTGTGTGTGTGTGTGTGTGTGTGTGTGTGACTGGCCGCTCCTTCTCGTTGAAGTGGCCCAGTGTGGTCTGTTGCGTGCGTATTGTGTTTTTTTTTTTTGTTGTCATGGCGGTCGTTCAGGTGTGGTGTTAGAACACGATTGTCTCACCTTCTTGTCCATGTGATTGTGGGCATGCGCAGTCGGTGTTGACGAAGGCAGTGATGGGCTCGACTACGACAACCTGTTCCACAAGAAGCCAAAGCACAGTGTGACGGCGGCGGCCACAGCAACACGCCGTGCGGCAGCGCGGGCGCGGGGAAGAGGAAGAGGGAGGGGCCGAGGGCGCCGGATGACATACAGAGGCAGCAGCAGTAATCGAAAAGGTAGGCACGTGAAGAGATGAACATGGCATGTCGCGATCATCATCTGCGTTTGCGTTTGCGTTTGCGTCCGTGTCTCTGTGAGCGTTGGTGGATATAAGGGTGAGAGCAAGTGCAATTTGCCTGTGGTTACACGCTGTTGGTGTCACTCTGCGCTCATGATGCTACATTACACGCACCCACACCTGTGCCCGCACGTGGCGCTTGTGCAGAGCAAAGCAGGTATTGGGCGATGCGCAAGGCAGTCAGCAGCAGGAAGAGCGGGAGAGGTAAAGGGCGAGGAAGGGGCAAGAAGAGGTGATGACGGGAATGCGGTAGCCTGACTTGCTAATGATATGTAACTAGCTGATCATTATTGTCATGCATGCATGATCGTTCGATGTCGTGTGTCGGGACGTCCCAGTTAAAACATTCATTGCGTAGTGCGTTGCAAACGATGAGCAAGCAACAAGGGATGCTGCGATTAAGGGGCAGTCCGGGAGAAAGAGCAACAGAGCACAGCGAGCAGAGAATGAAATCACCCGTTCGATAGCTGAGAGCTGAGAGTGTGTATGTGTGTGAGAGTGTGAGTGAGCGGCATGAGCGAGACCAAGAGACCACACCCACAGCCCCTCCAGCACCATACACCATACACAACACACGCGCGCGAACAACATCGACTTTTCCCGAAGGAATAATTTTTTGGGGGTGTTCTCTGTGTTGGAAAACAGTCAAGAGTGTTGGAAAGCCGTACAGGTACGAGAAATCTCAGCTGCAAAGGTGTAAAGATTGCCACAACGAAGCAGCAAGCATGACGATGACCTCACACCACTGCACCACTTTGTTCAAGGATTGGGTGGTGCCAGCATTGGTGTTTGGCTGGGAAAGCAATGCACTGTGTTGGAAAACAAGTTCATCCCACAATCTTGCTGGTGCCTTGGTTGCCGTGCTGTAGGCGCTGAAGTGTTGTACAACACACCGCTTGGTGTGGCGGGCTTGATCTGTCAGTGGTACTCATTTTCATCGCCTAGCTTCATCGCCCCCATCACCTTCCCTTCTCTGACCAAGACACTGACCGCTCGTTGACCAGGATGGCCCAGACGTTTCGCGCCCTGACGGCCCTTGTTGTGGCTGTTGTTGCCCTGGTTTCCGTGCCAGTCTCGGCTACAACCATTACCACGGGCTGCGAGTCCACTCAGTATGATGGCTCTGCCCAGCTGACCTTCCGCTGCATCCGTTCCAAGAAGATTGCCGAGTACGAGGATTGGCGCCTCAACAAGTTTGCCCGCAAACTCAACGAACAGCTCACTGCTTCATGCGGCCTCTCCCAGGTGTGCACGTATGTGTGTGTGTGTGTGTGTGTGTAAGCGCATGTGCGCACATGTGTGTGCGCGAGTACGAAAGAAGCGGGGCTTTATTGTTGGAGATGCTCGCTGTATGCAGATCTTCCACAGTTTACGCATTGTTCCATTTGAATTGATGTGAGCCGCTCTTCCTCTTGTCCCCCTGCCCTTCTGCCGTTGTTTTGCAGTGTGATGTGCGGTCGACAAACGCAAGCGACATCGAGGTCGTGGCTGATGGCACAAACGCTGTGCGCGTTGCCGTGCACAACGCATCGGTGAGCAGAAATACACATGTGACTTGGTCTCGTTGCGGGTGCGCAAGCGGATGGGGGGGGGTGAAGCCGTGTGTCGCCTCAATGGGGATGGGGGTGGTATGTGTTTCTTGACCTCCATGATCATGCAGCCTTTGCCAGAGTGACGCTTTGTCCTGTGCACCCAGGATGCGTCTAATGCCTTCGCGATATCGCTTGGCTTTGCTCTTTGACAATGAGTACAGACGGTAGAGGCGATTGAGACGTGCATGAGTACAACCAAGGTTCGTTTCATGCAGTGCAACCTCAAGCTCGTGAACTATGTTGCCGAAGGAAACACCGACGTGTGCCAGGACACCACGTACAGCACCAGCGCTGTCCTGACGACCAAGTGCCTCCGTAACCAGAAGCTCGACGAGTTTACGGACGCCCAGCTGGACAAGTTTGCCAGCCAGCTGCGCGACGCCATTCAGGAAGACTGCGGCTTGGATGTGAGTCACTGTTATCTCCCCTTTGCGACCGTGAAAGGGCGGGCGGAAGTGTGCTCTTGCACTTTGCTTTGCATACACGGTCAGAGTCCGTTCGTGCCCTCGTCCAGTGATAACGCGCGCATGCGTAGCCGTGCCCTCGCGTTCATTGGTTAATGTTCCTTGTGCTCACATGACACGCTGGCATCTTTGCCACGCCTGCATCATTGTAGACGTGCGATCTGTCGCTGAAAGACGGCTCCTCCGTGACTCCGCTTGCACCCAACAAGTTCAGCGTCGCTGCAAAGGATGCTACCGTGAGACGACAGACACCTTAGTGCTTCAATGCATGCATACTAGACCATGCCTTGCTTATGAATGCGGGTGGCGCAGGACAACACGACATGCACGTACTCTCACCTACAACCGCTGGCTTGCACACACACACTGCCTTCACTCACACACTTGTAGGTTGTGGCTGCCCTTGGGGCTTGCAAGCTTCGGTTCCACCGCTGCAAGGTGAACGGTGTCGAGACGACGACCACAACCACCACCACAACCACAACAACTACAACTACAGCCACAACTACCACAACAACGACTACAACTACCACAACCACAACCACTACCACGACCACATCTCCATGCACGACACTTCCTGCAGTCGTAGTTGAGAGCGCTGACCTGTGCCATGAAGAGACTGTGGACATTCCCAACTTTGTGGCCACGTCTCATATCCAGTCCATCTGCATTGATCTGAAGCACACATTTATCAGCGATATTGTAAGCCGTCCACTGACCATTGCTTCGTCCCACCAACACAAACAAACCTGCAAGATTTGTCGTTTGTCCTCCCCCCTCTACCTCTCCGTCTCCCTTACCCACACACGCACAATCTCCATGCTTGCTGCTCTGCTGCGCACGATATTGTGGCCCATGCCAGGACTTGTATCTCCGCTGTCCAAGTGGCCAGAAACTGGAGCTGGCCACGGACCTTGGCGGCAGTGCCGACGTCGACGGACAACACTGCTGGACCCCATCTGCAACTTCCCTCTTCCCTGCCAACCCAGCCAAGCCGGAAGGTGACTGGAGTGCGCTGGATGGCTGCACAACCAGTGGCACATGGGTCTTCGAGTACGCTGATGATTTTGCACCCGAAGATGATGCAACGATCCGCGCCGTTGACGTCACACTCCTCAATCCGTGAGGCGGTTTCACTTCCCTGCCAGTTGAACAGCTGGTGTTGTGTGTGTGTGTGTGTCATTATGTGTCTCTGTTTCTGTCTGCCCTTCTCCCTTTCCACCCCCCTCTCTCATCCGTTTCCCGTCCTCTCTCCCTCTCTCTCTTTCGTGATTGCTTTCGTCTCGCGTGTCAAGCTGCAAGCCTAGTATACCACACGTGACGTGGCACACTCGTTCCAAGATGCACGATGATTGTATTGTGTTGGGTTGTAATGTGGGGCAACATCAAGACATAAGCAATGCGGCGATACGAGAGACGCGTTTGAGATACAACAGGCGAAACCAGAGTGGCCATGGGAAGTGTGCATGTACGACAAGGACTGTCTGTTGTCCGTTTGAAGTTCTTCACAAGATCAGAGGCACTTGTCGAACTTGATGCCGTCCACACTCCCGCCCTTCAGCGTCCTGCGCACCGTCTGTCAAATACAACCAATGCGCGCGCGAGTGTGTGTGTGTGTGTGTGTGTGTGTGTGTGTGTGTGTGTGTGTGTGTGTGTGTGTGTGTGTGGGAGGGGGGAGAGAGAGTGTGTGTGTATATGTGAGTGTGTGTGTGTGTGTGCACGGGTTGGGAGGGCTCTCAGTGGGACGACAAAAGGTGTGGCAGCAGCACGATCCACTAAGCATTCAGCTTACCCTCTCAAAGTCGTTCAAGTCTTGCTTCATCGCCCTCGCTGCATCCTTGTTCAGGGGATCCGAAGGGTTGGGCTCCTGTGGCAATTGGGGTCGTTGCATGCATGCGTGTGAGTGCGTGTGAGTGCGTGTGTATTTGTGAGTGTGCGTGGTTGTGTGTGAGTGCGTGTGTATTTGTGAGTATGCGTGGTTGCGTGAGTGTATGTGCCACCTTACGGGTTCGTGAGTGCGGGGTTGTGAATGTGCATTCATGCTAGCGAAACCGTGTTAATGCGGACGACACAAGCGCAAGTGGGCGGCGTGGCACCCAGACTAGCAGCGTCAACACACCAGCAGCAAGATGGAAAGCCCATCAATCACAGACTGCAGGCTCAGCACGGGCTTCCAGTCCTCCCTGCGGAACGCAACATGCAACGTGGTTGGACAATGGCGTCGACACAGCCCGCGTGAGTCGCGGATGACGGTGGATCGAAGACATGAACACGCACACACGCACGCAAAGACTTATGCGGCTTCACACACACACACACACACACACACACACACGCACGAAGGCAGCTTCACTCACACAGACACACACACACACACACACACACACACACACACACACACACACACACACACACATGCATACCTTTCTGTGCGCGAATGTGTGCGGCGGAGGTGGAGTCGCCTTCCTTTGAAGCCTCCTCGGCGGCCTTCTCCTTCAGCTTGAACAACTTGATCATCTTTGCTGGTGTCTTGCTTGCTCGTCCTCGTTTTGACGTGGGCGCGGAGGTCCGTTCGTTGCTGTCCACTTGCTTGCTGGTTGGCTGACTGGATTGTTTGCTGTTGAAGGTAGGGAGCCTCCTGCCTGCTGCTTGCCTGCTGATCACCCACGTGGCTCGCTCTCTCTCTCTCTCTCTCTGTTCCTCTTCCTCTGTCTCCTTGTTCCTGTCACTCTGCTGCTCCCGCTCTTGCATCCAATGTCGACACCACACCCTTGTTTGTTCCAATTGCTTGCTTTTTTGCTCCTGTGCTGTGTGCGTATTTTTGTTGGTGGGAGTGAAGCAGAACACAAGAGTTGGAAGAGAGAAACGGTTGTGTTGGTTGTGTCTGACGACGTGAAGCCGCCGGCTGCTGCTGCTTCATCCCCGCAGGTGGTGTCATCACATCATCGTTGTGGTGTGTGACTGCGACACCACCGGCTGGGCGTATTCACACACAAACACCGACGCGACACAGCAAGCAAGCATGCTGGAACCCGATCTCGAAGCTGTACTCAGGCAGCATCGCAACAGCACAGCTGCACCCATTGCAATTGCACGTGTCGCTCCTGGTCGCAGTCCTCAGAGAGGAAAGCCAGCAGGTTGGTGCTTCGTGCGTGCGTGCGTGCGTGCGTGTGTGTGTGTGTGTTTGTGCGTGTGTCTGTGTGTGTGTGTGTGTGCGTGTGTGCGTGTTTATGTGTACAAACTGTCTTTGTGTGCGATGACACATGTTGTGCTGTGCACCTCATTGCACCTTGCCTCGAGCCGCAATGACGATGCACACATCGCTCACACATGATGCTACCGTTGTGCAGATGGGTTTCTTGAGCTCGAAGCTGGTCATGACATTGAAATTCTATCAATGGACCGCGGTCCAAGGTGAGTTGGCTGTTGTGACTGCTGTGTCTGACTGTTGTGACTGTTGTGGCTGTTGTTGTGCCTGCTGCGTCTGTTGTGACTGCTGCCAGCGACAATGGTTGCGTGTCTGTGTGTGGTGGTTCAGACTTGTTGGCTTCTTCTCGCTTCACGTCGTGTTGCTCATTGTCGTGGTGGCCAACAGCGGTGCGTGGGTGGCAAGGGATCACGCAGGTGCCGTAGGTTTCGTGCATTGCAACGATGTCATCGTGCAGCACTTTGACCTCGACCAAGACGTGCTGGTTGAAATGCTGCACAAGGCTCGCGTCGAGGTACGTCCGCACACACACACACACACACACACACACACACATAGACACACTTGCACACATGCATACACCACGCGCATGTGTTGCACTGTGTGCGTCTCACTGACATTGCACGTCTTCGACCACATGATACAATTGCTCTGGTCATGTGCCAGAAGCATGTGTCAGACAGAGCAAGCGAATCAACGACGCTCATGCATACGCATACGTATTCACCTTTTAACACCATCTCTCATGCGCATTTGTCATATCACCGATCATACATCACCGACACACGACCATGTTTTCGTGCACGCAGGCGACGCAGGAAGCGCTACGGCCATCTTCCACCTCCCCCGCATCATCCTCACGCTCTTCCCTATATGCGCTCAACACGCGATCGCCAACCCCAATGTCCTCACGTGTGTTATGCGGGCACTTGCACTTGTGCATGTGACATGTGTCGCTGCGTGTTGGCACTGTGTGACGGACATTGTTGAGTCGCTCCCACAGACATACACACACCAATGGCCGCACTCACCCCCGTTGCATTCCTGCTGCTGCCTCTGCTGCTGTTGCCCCTAATGCGTTGACTGCTGTCTCACACAAGGTTTTGTCATGATGCCTGCAGGTCCTGCCTCGTCACAATCGCGGCGCGCAAGGCGAAAATCATCATGTGTGTGTGTGTGTGTGTGTGTGTGTGTGTGTGTGTGTGTGTGTGTGCGACTTGGGTTGCATGCGCATGCATTTCGCGGCTCGAAGCGACCCGACCGCCTTCTCTGTTTGACGTTCACACACCACGCCTGCCACCCCCCTCCCCTCATGACAACACACCCGCGCACCATCAGCTATGATCCATCGTCTCATCTCCCGCCCCAACTCGCTCAATCTCGAGCCATACGAGGTGTGTCATCAACTGCAGCCTTGAAACGCTGTGGAAGCCCCGTGCAGCAAGTTCCTGCACCCAATACACACACACACACACTCACACACGCCCAAATGCACTTGCAAATGCGTTTGTCTGTGCACGCACTGCACACCGTTACTGTACAGATGTGCAACTGTCTCGAGGAGCGACGTCGAAGCATCACCATCGGCTCTGCAAATGCCATCAAAACACACAAGCGAGCGCCTCCAGGTTAGCCGCACACAATGTCTCCACATCCAATGCACGCACACGCGCGTGCACATCCATGCATTCTGCTCTCATCCCTATCACTGGCACGTTTTGTGCCTGCACGGTCGCACCGCTACCTCCTCCAACGCCCCCTTTTTTTCCGCTGTCATCCGCTCACCGTGCTCATGCTTGGGGTGCACAGGGTATCTGGAACTGTCAAAGGGCGACAGCGTGGAGGTGCTGGCCACCAAAGTCGACCAACTGCCCGCGTACGGACGCATCCATGCCTCTCATGCACACGCACTGCATGTGCACGCCACTTTCTTCTCCAGTTGCCTGGTGTGGTGTTGCTGTCCTTCGCTTAATTCACTCACACCACCGCAACACCACCATATCACCACCACGGCTGTGTACCGACCTGTGCTTGGCGTGATGGCAGTGGAGTGTGGATTGGGCGTGATGCGAGCGGGCGCGTCGGGTTTGTTGACAGTTCTGATCTGCACATGGCACTCGGCTATCTCAAGTTTGGCCAGGACCTCATTGAGTCATACAAGGGCACACGCAGACGCGTGCCAAAGGTCGGCGGCGGCGGTGGTTGTTGTTGTGGTGGGACAAGGGAACGAGCACCTGTTGGCAGCAGTTGAATGGGGGAGGGAGGCATGGACGCATTGGTGCACGATGAGTAGGTGGTGGATTTTTTTTTTGGGGGGGGGGAGGGATTCTTGCGGTCGTAGTTGTTGTTCACATTGCCTTTCTGTGTTGCACTGCATTCCCTTTGCCGCCGTGTCCACTGCACGCCAGGTGGTTGCCAGCTGCGTGGCATTCCTCACGAAATATGGTCTGGAGCAAGAAGGCGTTTTCCGCGTCCCGGGCAGAACGGCCCTGGTACGTGTGTGTGTGTGTGCGTGTGTGTGCGTGTGTGTGCGTGTGTGTGTGCGTGTGTGTGTGTGAGTGTATGAGTGCGTGTGTGTGAGTGTGAGTGTGAGTGTGAGTGTGAGTGTGAGTGTGAGTATGTATTGTGCATGCCCGTTTCCCATTCCCCTTGTGCGTGTTCGTGCGATGCTGTACACAACGACACTGTGCTCACTGTCGCCTCCTTCGTTCACTCTGCTCGCATTGTTAGATTGAGGAGCTTCGTGCTGGATTTGAGAACGACGTTGACATGCTGAAAGGTCGGGTTCAAAGCAGTCGTGCTGGTGGGCGTGGTCCGCTTAGGTCACGGATGCACACCAGGCACACGTAGGCATACAGCACACACACACACACACAAACAAACAAACAAACAGTACACACACACACACACACACACACTAACACACACACACATCAACACACACACCAACACATAAAGCATACACGCGTGCATACAAAGCACACAATGTTCCACGCGCTGCTGACATGTCACTGTCTTGGTCATTTGCTGCTGCAGATGCGACGCCGCTTGACTTCAACGTGTCTGCCGTCGCTGGCCTGCTCAAGCTCTTTCTTCGCGAGCTCCCAAACCCAGTCTTCACCCGAAATCTCCACGACACATTCAGAGAAGTAGGTCTACAGGTTTTGCTGCAAGTGTTGCCTGTCATGCCCGCATGCTCACGTGCTCATATCGCACGCACACACACACACACAGACGTACCCACACACACACAGACGTACCCACACACACACACACACACACACACACACACACACACACACACACACACACACACACACACACACGAAATCATGAACTGCTGCCAACCACACTTGCATTCGAACACTTGCCTCTCATTTCCTTCCACGACTTGTGCAAACACAACCCCCGCAACCATCAACCCCTCTCCCCCCCCATGAAGATTGCCCGCCTGTCAAATGAGGATGATCGCATTGCACAGCTGAAAGAGACAATTGCAAATTATCTTCCAACCGCACACACAGAAGTCTTGCGCGACGTTCTGAATCTCCTCCACGCGGTGAGTGAGTGCGTGTGTGCATGTGTGCGTACATGTGGATGGATGGATGGATGGATGGATGTATGTATGTATGTATGTATGTATGTATGTATGTATGTATGTATGTATGTATGTATGTATGTATGTATGTATGTATGTATGTATGTATGTATGTATGTATGTATGTATGTATGTATGTATGTATGTGTGCGTGCGTGCGCGTGTGCGTTTGTAAAGTATCTGTGCTCATGTGGGATTCACACGTGCGATCCCTGTCGCCTGGTGCCAACCTTCATCTCCTCCATCATCTGCAGGTTGCTGAGCGCTCCGAGATCAACAAGATGTCTGCTGCAAACCTCGCGGTTGTGTTTGCTCCAACGCTCATGCGCAAGGGCTCAAACAAGGTCGTTGAGCCATGCGCATACGTGTGCGTGCGTGCATGTGTGCATGTGTGCGTACAGCATGAGTGCGTGTGCGTGTGCGTGTGTGCGTGCGTGTGTGCGTGCGTGTGTGCGTGCGTGTGTACAGCGTGTGATGTGTGTCCCTGATGAACATGAATGCATCTCTCACCGTTACACACACACACACACACACGCACATGCAGCCGCCTGCGCAGCTTGATAGCGCGGACGCGTTGGAGGCGGCGATGCAGGACGACCAGCTGGTGAAGGACCTCCTTGTCACCTGCATTTCTCGCGTCGGCGACATCTTCCCAGACGACCCCACACCGCGAGGTGGGCGCTTCTGAAGTTCCAATACCGCCCATTTGATCGTGCGCTGAGACAGTGCACGTGCTGCCCTGCTGTTTGCTTGCTCATGGATACCGTGACACGACTCACTCACGCTTACAACCCCCCCCACCCACACATACACTCCCCTCCACACATACACCCCCCTCCACACATACAACCCCCCCAACACATATACATCCCCCCCCTCCACACACCCATGGCGCCTGCGCCGCTTCCCTGCGTGTCAGATGGATCGCCATCACCGTCGTCGTCGTCGTCGTCGCTGCGGGTGGAGCCGTGGCGGCGGGTGTACATCCGGCGGCAGCTGAGCCAGAGCCCACACAGCGCCTCCTCCTCGGTTGACGAGGGCGACGCGCTGCGACGCATGAGCAGCGGCAGCGCGCTCTCACCGTCGTCACACTCTGCGCACGCCACCCCGGTCGCCACTTCCGCAACGGCGACGACAACACCGACGCCGATGGTGGCGGAGACAAGCCGCTTCGGAGGCACGGTCTCTTCCTCCCCTTCCTCGTCGTCTTCCTTGCTTGTTGTGACCTCAGCCCCCACAGCTGCCACGCGTGCGTGTGGCGTTGCGAGCGGCGCCAATGGTGATGGCCGTGACCTTGAGGGCGATGTGGATGCTGTGGGCGCGGTCACGCTGCGAACGCGCCGTGTCGTGAGTGCGTGTGAGACAAGACATCACCGCCTGCACCGATGCAACGCAAACGCAGGCGAAGGAAACCCCTTTGCTGCGGATGCGGACACATACGCACATGATGGTGATGGTGATGGTGATGGTGATAGTGGCGCTGTCGGAAGGTGGCAGGGCATTGTTCGAGCCAACAGTGGACCGCGAGACGAAGAGGATGGTGATGATGTTGGCAAGGGTGGCGATAGTAGTCATGGTGGTGGCGATGATGGTGACGCTGAGGTGGAAATGCTGCATGCACAGCTGGAAGAGCAGCTCCAGCTTCCCTCTAACATCAAACGGTGGTCTGCACAGCACGTCGCCACATACCTGAAAGGTGGGGGACGGAAAACCTGGTGGTTGTGGGCGCGTGTGTAGTTGCGCGTGGTTGTGTGAAGGTGGACGATTTTGTGTTACAAGTGTCTTGTGTGCCCTTGTTGTTGGATGCTGTGGACCAACCAATGCTGGGCTGAGTGCAATGAGAGCAATGGGTGCAATTGAGTGGTTGCTCACTGCTCCATTCCTGCTTGCTTTAGGTTGCGGCCTTGGCATCAGCGAATCTGCGCTGCAGGCGCTGTCAAACGTCTCTGGTGCTGAGCTCGTGTCGCTCAACAAGGACAAGCTCAGATACACATACCATCTCCATGAAACAGATGTCGCAAAGGTGCGCGCGCACATGTACTGAGAAATGTTGTGGCGTGTGGTGTTGTGTGGTTGTGTGTGTGTGTGTGCACTTGTACTTGTGTGTGAGACTTGTGTATGTGTGTGTGTGTGTGCACATTCGGCTTCTTTGCGAAAGGGGTTGGGTTGGGGTTGCGTACATAATGCATGCACGCATGCACGCATGCACGCATGCACTCTTTCTTGCTCAAACCCTGTGTGCCTCCCTGACCTGCGTACGTTTCACTCACGATTGTTGTGTTGGTCTTGACATGTGTTTTCGTTGTCCGCAGATTGCGTCGTTAATATTTGAGCTGGTGGATCCTCGTGCCGAGGCCGCCTTTGCGTAATTGAAAACCCCAGCAGGAATCGCGCTGACACGCATAAACGCCGGGTGCACTTGCATGCACCACATTGGGCGGGTGAGTGCAACCGCGCGCGTGTGTGTCTGTTGTTATGTTACATTGCACGTCCTGCATTGGTGGGGATGGGTCCGCCGCCAAATAATTTACATGGCGCACCCGCCTGTGAGCGACTCCCCTTGTGTAGTTTGTATTCCCACTCGCTTGTTCACAGTAGTGAAGCTTCATGTGTGCGTGTGTATGTATGTGCGTGTGCGTGCGTGTGCGTTGTACCAAATTATTACTCTTGCGCCATGCACGGTTGCAGTGGTGTTGGCTCGGCGCCCGAAGTGTGTTGGGCTCATGCTGCTTGTACACTTTGAGAAGCGGCCCAATGTACGCACATCATTTCAGTACATGTTTCAAGTACAGACTTTACTGAATGATGGTCATTGTCACCAAGATGGACAGTCGCGTAACGATGATTGTCGACATGGAGCAGCACACACACAGTCAAAAGTTTTAGCCCGAAACACACACACACACACACACACACACACACACACACACACACACACACACACACACACACACACACACACACACACACACCACACACACAAACACACAAACGCACACACAGAATGCCAGCTAGTGGTGCTGTCAGTAGATGAAGTGGGTGTGTGGTCTCCGGCGCGTTGATGCGGCATCTGCGGTGCGTGGACGAACAGAACCAGCAGAGCGTGATGGCGACAGCAGCCGCGACGTGTGCGTGTGCCCATTGGTCGCACGCGGTGAGCGCGCGTGCGCATGTGAAAGCGTGCGCGCGCTTGATGCTGTTGGAACGTGGAGCGAGTGTGCACTTCGCGACGTGCTGCTCAGCGCGTGCGAGCTAAATGGCGCAGACGGACCGCCATGGTGTTGATGATGGCTGCGGTGGCTATGGTGGCGGTGGCGTGTGGTGTTGGCGGTGCGGGATGGAAGGCCCGATGAAGTCCATGGGCGAGCAGGGAGCGTGTCACTGTGGAGCGCAGAGGAGGGCGAGCGAAGCAGGCCACTGCAGCAGGCACGCGGAGTGTGTGGGCGGGTATGTCAGCGTGTGGTTTGTGGATATGAGCTTGTATGTGTTTATGAGGGTCATCCGTAACGTGAGTGATTGTGACGTCGAAGGTTGCAAACACCGGGCTGACCTCAAGAAAGCAGCCTCTTGAACACCAGCACAAACACACACACACACACACTTGTGCGTTGTGAACGCACTTGTGTCTGTTCGAGGAGGATGAGAGGTTGAGGGACGCGTTGAGGGAGGGCGCGACGCTGGCTGGTTCGCTGATGGCGGTGGAGCGGATGCGCACGTCATTCGTCGACCGGAGGAGTCCACGCAGCTTCGGCCGCATCCTGGTGATGGTGAAGATGGTGGGGAGGAAAAGGGCCAGCAAGGTTTTTGGGGGGGGGGGTATGCGTTGCATGAATACAGCAAGGACGAGAAGCAAGGGTGCGAAGCAAGGGTGCGAAGCATGCCACCCCACAACACACACACACACACACACACACACACACACACACACACACACACACACACACACACACACACACACACACACACACACACACACCTTCGTTGGAATGAGGAGAGGTGGACCATGGAGTCCGTGGCGCCGTCATCGGTGGAGACGGAGACATCGAGCGTCACGCTGTCAAGATACTCGTCCAAGAACGCGTTCTGGCGCGCAACCTGTCGCGGTGTGTGCGAAAGTGTGCACGGGCACGAGTGGACAAGCGCGCACGTGCATGGTGTGGCAGAGGGTAGAGAGCAGACACGTGAGGCAGGAGGCAAGCGAAGCATTTGGGCACATGTGCACATACACATAACAAGGATGAGAATGGGCGGGCAGGCAACTTCAAACGCAACACACGAGACGCAGGCGTGCTGCGCTGCACCTCTCGGTCAAGGTCCTCCTGCGACCAACGGGCGAGGAGGCCTTCGCGGACACCAGCGAGTGCAGCAACTGTAGGAGTGGAAGGTGGGAGTGGCGCAAGGTGTGAAGGTGGAGGTGGTGTTAGCGCACATGTCAACGTTGGCAACGCAGCTCAATAGTCAAGAAAGACAGGCAGAAAGACAGGCAGAAAGGGAGGGACAGACAGACGCACAGACAGACACACAGACAGACACACACACAGACACACACACACACAGACAGACAGACAGACACACAGACACACACACACACACAAAGACAGACGCACACAGACACAGACAGACAGACACACAGACACACATGCGCGCACATTTGTCGTCGCCGGTGAGTTTGAGGGCAGATTTGACGGCGCGGGCAGACTCGGCCATGTGCTCTTTCCCTTCGACCTGCTGCGCCGTGGCAAGGTCCTCAATCAGCCCAAGCAGCTGCACACATGTGGAGGGAGGAAGAAATGGGGGCAAGCAGCAAAAAAGGGTGAGCGAAGAAGAACACGGAGTATATTTGTTCGCACGCACGCGCTTGGCGGGCAGAAGTGACAGCTGAACCACAAGCAGGTACGGCATTGCACATCAAAGCACAACTCACGCTCTGCACTTTGCCGAGGGCCTCATCGCGCTCTTGCGTCAGGTCCTCGATGACTTGCTCGTGCTCCTGCAGTTCATCCTGCTGCGCATCGGCAACCAAACTCTGGCGCCGGTTCGACTCTTGCAGGCTGTGTGTGTGAGTGAGTAAGTGAGTGAGTGGGTGGGTGAGTGGGTGTGTGTTGGCGGGGGAGGGGGCGTTGAGCGAAATGATGTGGAAGGAACGACAGACGAGTGAGTGAGTGGAGTGAGTGTGAGTGTGTGTGTGTGTGTGTGATTGAGTGAGTGAGTGAGTGACTGACTGACTGAGTGAGCGTGGAAAGGGGCGAATCAAGGCAGACATGTGATGCGTATGGGGGTGCACCGCACGAAGTTCGGCTCACATTTTCATGGTGTCACCCGACAACAGCTCCATCTTCAGTCTCAAATCGCTCAGCTGCCGCTCCTTGGAAGCTGACAATAGACGTTGGAATCACGGGACATGAACAGGAGCAGCATGGTGCGCAAGGGATTAACGAGGGCACATCAAACACGTTCCATCTGCATGCGGAAAAGACTTGCAAGGAAAAAGTACTTTGTGGGGGGGGGGTGACATGTACCTAGTGTCTGGATGAGCAGTTGGTTTTCGTCCTGGACCTTCTTCATCTCTGTCTGGAGCTGCAGGATGTGTTCCTTCTGCAGTTTCATGATGTCGCGGCGCATCTCCAGCTCCTTCATCAGCTGCGAGTCCATTTCCTCACTCGGGGGCGTCGTGTCGTCGTCGGCATCTCGCCGCTGCTGGAGCTGGGATGCTACACAGAACCACAGATGGAGGCGGAGGAAGGGAGAGAGGGACACACACACACACACAGACACACACACACACACACAGACACATACATACACACACACAAGGATACACGCACATACACACACACACACAGACACACAGACACAGACACACACACGTTTTGGAACGTGAGATTCTCTGCAAATACATATCATGTCAAGGCAGGTGCAAGTGACAGCATGGCAGCATTACAACAGCAGTGCGGACCTTGGGTGCCGACGATGGTTTTGTTCCGCTCTCGCTTCTCTGCTCTCGTTAGCCGGCGTCGTGCCAAGGCCTCCTTCACTTGGCGCTGGTCGATGACAGAGAATGAGCGCGTACCTCGCCTGCACCAAAGTGAAGCGACAAGAGGAGGGTGTTGGAAGGAGCAGCGTGAGGACATACGGCACACACAGCAATGCTGCTTGCACTGATGGACGCACACAGAGACAGGACGAAGTTGTGTGGAGCACAGCACACACACACACACACACACACACACACACACACACACACACACACACACACACACACACACACACACACAGACACACAACACACACTCACAAACCTGAGCTTTCCTGCCGGTGCAGGCAAGGGCTGCTCCTTGCTCTTCCCTTTGTGCTGCGGTTGGCTGGCCATCTTCGCTCGTGCGGCTTGGTGTTAGCGTTGGATGGTGTGCTCTGTGGTTGCTTCGGTTGTGGGCGGCGGGCAAAACAACAACAACAACGACAGCTTAAAGGCAAAATTGACTTTGAAGGGTGACGACAAACAAATGCAATTTTGCCTTTGTGCCGCGTGATTTTTCACCCCACAACAAACACCACTGAACAACACCACCACGATGGATGCCAAGCGTGCGAAGACTGGCGTGGTGCGCGCAACCACCACGGCGCCTGTCAACATTGCCGTCATCAAGTACTGTGAGTGACATGCGTTCCAACTTGCTCCGCTGCGTGTGGTGCGATGCGATGCGATGCGATGTGGCGATATTTGATATGCTGTGACGGCTGTGGCGGCGTATGATGTACTCATTCATACGCGTGCGCGCACACACACACACGCACACACACACACACACACACACACACACACACACACACACACACACACACACACACACACACACACACACACACACACACACACACACACACACGCATACACACACACACGCATACACACACACGCATACACACGTGTGCTTGGGATCGTTTGGCTGGCAAAAGGGGGAAAGCGTGATACGAAGCTGCTGCTTCCCATCAACTCCTCACTCAGCGGAACGCTGGACCAAGAGCAGGTGTTGTTACTATGCTCACCATTTTCTCTGTTATGCGCCTTGCTGGCGAACGGCGCCGAGAAGGGCTCACGCAACATGCGCTGCCCAATGATGCACTGCACTGCACACACACACACACACAATCAATCACACACACAATCAATCACACACATGCACTCACTCATTCACACTCTCCCACGTACACGACACGTACACTCATTCACCCTCCCCCACGTACACGCATGCACATTCCTTCAAACACACCTGTTCAGCTTCATGCCAGGACGACTGTGGCTGCCAGCAGCAGCTTCGAGGCTGATGAAATCTGGCTGAACGGAAAGTGAGTTGCCACCCCAGCTGCACATGAGTAACAGCAGCAAGGACAGCAACACTAACAGCGGTGACAGGGCGATGACGACAGCGATGACAGTCCATAACTGACCTGTGTCTTATTCTGTGAGCGTCTCACACCAAGACAGCGGTATGGCGCACTGCGTTTCTCTGACACACTGGTTGCTGATGCTCTGCATTTTGTTCTGTTGCATGCGTTGCTTGCAGGCAAGAGGACATCTCCAACCAGCGCTTGCAGAACGTGCTTGGCGCGGTGCGCGCCCTGGCCGCAAAGAAGGACCCCGAGCACCCGCTCAAGGACGCGCACATCAAGATTGCCTCTGTCAACAACTTCCCCACGGCCGCTGGCCTTGCTTCCTCTGCTGCTGGCTACGCCTGTCTTGGTGCGACTGGCGTACTTGCGTGCTTGCGTGTTCTTGTACTTTGTGTGTGTGTGTGTGTGCGTGCGTGCGTGTGTGTGTGTGAGTGAGTGAGTGTGTTGGGTTTGTGTGTGTTTTCTTGTATGTGTATGGGTGTGCGCACGTGTACGCTGCTTTGCGTGTCACGATGCCTTTGCAGCCCAGCTCACGTTTGGAGTGGCTGTTCGATGCCGTTGTCAACAGTTGCCGCGCTGGCTGAGCTCTTTGGCGTTCAGGATCAGGAGCTTACCGCAATTGCTCGGTACACATCCCCCGCTCTGCTCAGGCCGTGTGATGCTGTGAGCTGTCGATACATGTCTCAGCATGGCTCACAGTAGTGTCGATACATGTCGCAGCACGGCTCACAGTACATCATACTCCCCGATTCATGATTCACTGCCACCCACCACCCACCACTCACCACCGCGACCGCCGCCACCACCACCACCATGCAGCGTTGGTTCTGGCAGCGCGTGCCGCTCTCTCATGGGCGGTTTCGTCCGCTGGGAAAAGGGCACGCGCGATGATGGCGCAGACAGCCTCGCCTCCCAGGTGTGTGTGTGTGTGCGTGCTTTGTGTGCTATGTGTGTTGTGTGTGGCTGTGTTGGTGCATGTATCTTGTGGTATGTCCATGTGCACCTGTTGATTGCTGTGTGGCGACCTCATACATCCCCCAACACCACTCGCCCCTCCACGCCCATGACAACTTTGTGTCAGGTTGTGCCAGAGTCACACTGGCCAGACATGCAGGTGCTCATCCTTGTTGTCAACGCGGGCAAGAAGGGCGTTAGCAGCACCAGCGGCATGCAGTCGACAGTCAAAACAAGCGCCCTCATCAACGTACGCAGAGCGGCGTGCACTCGTCTGTGCGTGTGTATGTGTGCATGTGTGTGTGTATGTGTTTGTGCACACCATCGAAATGCGTTCGCATGATCCAGTGTCATTGTCGTGTGCACCCTATTGCCCCGTCATGTACTTACCTCACCACCACCGCCATCGCCATCTCCCTCCCTCCACCCAAAACACATCAGCACCGTGCGGAGGTTGTTGTTCCCCAGCGCATGAAGGACATTGAGAAGGCAATTCAGGATCGCGATTTCCAGACCTTTGGGCGCATCACAATGCAGGTTCGTAGCATTGTGGGGTGGTGATGTGGTTGTGTTTGGTGTTGTGGTTGTTGTGGTGGTTGCGGTGGTTGTGGTGGTTGTGGTGGTTGTGGTTGTTGTGGTGGTTGCGGTGGTTGTGGTAGTTGTGGTGGTTGTGGTGGTTGTGGTGGTTGTGGTAGTTGTGGTAGTTGTGGTGGTGATGGTGTGGAGTAGTAGTTGTGGTGGTTGTTTGGGTGGTGGTGTGGAGTAGTAGTTGTGGTGGTTGTTGGTGGGTGTATAGCTTGACCCTTCGCGTCATGAGAGCTTGAGCGCTTGTTTGTATTGCCACAGCTCCTCTGCACCAATCAGTCGCAACCACGCCATTCAGAAACCTCTCGTTGATGCACAACACACACACACACACACATACGTGTCACTCGCTCACTTCCACACCACCAACAGGACAGCAACCAGTTCCACGCCACGTGCCTGGACACATATCCACCCATCTTCTACATGAACGACGTGTCGCGCCAGATTGTGCAGATTCTCACACAGTACAACGACGCCGCCGGAGAGATTCGGGTGCGTGCGCACGTGTGTGTGCATGTGTATGTATGTATGTATGTGTGTGTGTGTGGGGGGGGGGGGAGGCGTGTGTGGGTGTGTTTTTGCACGCGCGCCTTGCCCTCATGGCACAACCCACAATTCAATGGTGTTCCTCTTCTTGACTCCTGTCGCACTCTGATGCACCCCTTTGCATGTTCCATGATGGCTACGCGACGTGATGTGCACTGCAGGCTGCGTACACGTACGATGCGGGTCCAAACTGCGTCATCTACTGCCTCAAGCAACATGTGCAGGAGATTCTGTCCCTGGTGTGCCACTACTTTCCATCTTCGGAAAGCGAGTTTGTCCGCGGCCGCTCCACCACGGCATCGGACTATTCGTCCACTGTTGACGCGGCTGTGCGGGAGAAGATCTCCGGCCCAACAACAGCTGACGGCGTCAAGTACATTCTCCACACGGGCATTGGGCCCGGCCCCAAGACCCTCACCAACGAGGTGTGAATACGTGTGTGTGTGTGTGTGTGTGTGTGTGTGTGTGTGTGTGTGTGTGTGTGTGTGTGTGTGTGTGTGTGTGTGTGTGTGTGCGTGTGTGTGTGTGTGTGTGTGTGAACACATGTGTGTGAGCATCGCAGTACCTGCCTGCGTTTGCTTGCGTCTGCGCACCGCGCTCCCGAGTAACGCGCACCCATTTTGTCGTCGTTCGTTTGCAGGACGCCTTCCTTATTGCAGAGGATGGCTCCGTGAAGCAGCAGGCATAGGCGGTGACCGCAAGTATTGTTGCAAGCAAGCAAGCGTCAGGTGTCAGTCACACTTGCCAGCCAGTGGAGAAACTTGGTGCCACACGTGCCACTTTGGCCCGTGAATAGTAAAATGAGATCGCTCTTCCACTCGTGACAATACCGTAAGGAACACGCATGTATTCTGTTTCACCACTTTTCAACACACACACACATACACAAACATGGGGGTAGCTACACACAGACACGACATCCACATCACAACACGAACGACAGTCAACTTGTCCTACACAGCATACACACACACACACACGGAACGAGACGGCTAAGCGGAAGCTTGCGCTGCGTTCTCTTCGTTGTCCTGCTCCTGTGCGGGCGCACCGGACTTGACCGCGTTGGGTGTCTCTGTGAGGTAGAGGGTGCTGATGCCCTGTGACGAAAACTTGGCCAGGTGGTCGCAGTACGCCGAAATCTGCGAGTTGATGAGCAGCGGCTGCACACCGGTTGGTGTCTCGAGATGCTGTTGTCAATGAATGGAGAAGGGGTTGTACAGGGGCAAAGGATGTGTGGCGTTGTTTGGGTGAGGAGACGGCGGTGATGGTCGTGGGGGCGGAGGCGGTTGATGTTGGTGATTGCACTGGCCAAGGTGGATGCACGTGCACACGGACATCCACGCATGACAGTGGAACAGCAAGCATATTCACAGAACGCAGCTTCCACACACACGCACACACACACATGCACGCACCTCGTCGGGGAAGTTCTGTTGGAGCTCGCGCATGGTTGGCGGCCTGGTGTTCTTATCCTTAAACTCGCGATAAAAGGCGGCAATGTCCTGGTTGCGGCCGGCCGAGTCCTTGAAGCGGTGGTACTTGGCCGCCTCGTCAGACAGCTCGTCAATGCAGTTCATCATCGCGCTGATGTTGTCCTCGAGGAACGACTCCAGCGACATGTCCAGCTCCTCAAAGCTCTGGAACCACACGCGCACAGTCCAAAACGAGACAGGGGCACGCACCAGCAAGCAACGTGGCTTGGTGAGGTAGCATGCTCATCACTCCAGCCATCGTATGCAAGAAGGTGTACGATCACACAAATACACAAATACACATGGCACAAAACACAACCACACACCCACACACCCACACACAGGGTGCCAACCACCAACTGACTCCCCCATTTACCCGAAGCAAAGCAAAGCAAAGGGTAACGTGCCCCACTCACCGAGTCCTGCTTTGTCTGTGAAATGAGCTCTGGGATGGCGGCGCGCGCGAGCACGGATGTGTGGAGGGTCATGGGGATCTCTTCAAAGATGTCGGAGCTCGTCAGGCGCTTGTTGTCGACCTTCAGCCTGGACAGCGAGAAGACGACACAGGGGATCACAGCGTAAGAATGCCGCACACAGGTCGAGTTTGCAATGACGGCGTCGCAGGTTCGCACAAGCTGCCACATGAGTACAGACCACCGGTGACGAGCATGGAGAGACACACTTACTCATCGGGGCCAATACTGAGAGGCTGGTCTCCCCTCTGCTGACCAAGGAATTTGAGCATGACGTCGCTCAGGCGGAACGCACGCACTGACAGCGTGTCTTCCTCCACCAGTGTGGGATCTGTGTGTGTATTGGTGTGTGTGTGTGTGTGTGAGTGTGAGAGAGAGAGAGTGTGTGTGAGTGAGTGTGTAAGGGAGTGACAGAGAGAGAGTGTGTGTGTGAGTGAGTGAGTGAGAGTGTGTGAGAGTGTGTGAGTGAGTGAGTGAGTGTGTGTGTGTGTGTGAGTGTGTGACAGCATGCACACATGTGGCCGTAATGCCACGACGACGCTTCAATGACAAGCGCAGCAGGTTGCATGGCATGAAGAGTGGAGTCTGTCCGCGCAAAGCAAGACGTTAACGGCAGGTGTTGTCAAAGTGACACTGACCGTATGCGAGGATCACTGCCGCAGACATGGTTGATTGGTACTCGAGCAGGTTGGAAATGAGTGTTTGGTCAAAAAGAGAGCGTGCGTCGCAAATCTGCAGGGTGTGGAGTCACAACATTGTGCGTGGTTGTAGTTGCGTGAGTCAAGTAGGCATCTCACTGCGCAGATGTGTGTGTGTGCATGTGTATATGTGAAGGGAGTCCACAGAGCAAGTGGCAACGGAATAATGTCGAGACAGGAGCCAGCGAACTGACCTGGAAGAGGCCGACTTCGTCAAAGTCGGCGTTGACGGCCCGCATGGCGTTGAGCATGTTGTCTTTGAATTGTTGCATGCGCTCGCTGTCCATCTCTGTACCACCGGTCTCGTCCTCGTCACCGTCGTCGTTCGCCCTGGCCTTCTTCATGTCGGGGATGACAAAGCAGTCTGTGACCTCGAGGTTGAACTGGTTCTGCATGCCGAGGAGGGAGCCCATGACCTTGTTGCCGGGCGAGTCCCGGGCAAACTTGGCCACCTTGGCCACAACCTAATGAATGCGTGCGTCGTGCGCATGTTCGATGTGTGAGTTGAGTGTGTGTGTGTGTGTGTGTGTGTGTGGTAGAGTGCAGGCGTGCATGATCGAAGTGAAACTCACACACACACACACACACACACACACACACACACACACACACACACACACACACACACACACACACACACACACACACACACACACACACACACACACACACACACGCATGCAGCTGGGCGACGATCTGTGTGCCATGAATGCAGTTCTTTCGCTGCCTTTTTCCCCATCCGGCTTCGTGACTCACCAAGGCATCGACAACGACGCATTGCACACGCTGCTCCTGCGTGTACGCCGATGCAGGCTTGTCCTGCCTCTGCTGTTGCTGCTGCTTCGCGCTCATCCTCGCTCTCTATGCGTTGTGTTGGTGTTGGTGGTGTTGGTGGTTTGTATTGGCTGTATTGGCTGTTGGCGCACCGAAATCAAAAGGCAGTGCATGTGCAGTGTGGATAGTCTGCTTGAGTGCGCACGTTTTCGCTTGCCGCTTGTGCGAAACGTATACCGCATGGCCTACATCTATGCTGATGTCCGATTTCCAGCACAACTCGGCATAATTTTTCCTGGATGTGCGTTGGTAGCTTTCGTCAGAGTGGCAATCACCCCTTTCGGCACACCTGTTCGTTGCTCTTGCACCACTGTGCGTGCTGTCGGTGGTTGATGGTGATGGTGATGGTGATGAGAGCAGTGGTGGCAGACCGCATGTCTGCGGTGTGTACTGTGCCAGTGTGAGTGTCAGTGTGTGTGTGTGCATGTGGGGAGCGTGGTGGAAGTACAGCGAGAACCCGTGGAAGTTGTCCACGATCAGCAAACAGAGAGACATGCATATGTTTGTGTGTGCTTGTTGAAGGCCAGTACTCACTGACTCACATCCACATGCACATGCATGCACATGCACATGCACACACTCACACGCTCGCACACTTAGGGTTTTGCAACCTTCTCTCAACACACTACCTCAACGACATCATGTCTCTGTTCCGTGCTGTTGTCCGCGCCCCACTCCGCGCCGGTCTCCTCCGCTCCGTTGGTGCGTCCCAATAACAAGCGAATGCATTTGTCACCGACCTTACACACACACACACACGCACACACACACGCACGCACACACACACACACACGCACACACACACACACACACACACACACACACACACACACACACACACACACACACACACACACACACACACACACACACACAGAGCACGACCACAGTTTGAATCACACATCTGACAGCTCTCTTCCTCACTTGCCCCCTTCCTCCCTCGTGTTTGCGCCCACTGTATATGCTACAGCTGCCCGCCCCGCGGCTGCGCGCATGTACTCGACCCACGAGGAGCTTTCAGATGCCGACTTTGATGCCAAGTGGAAGGCGTACTTCGCCGACGAGACGCTCGACGAGCACGCCATCCGCCGCGGTCTCAACGACCTCTTTGCCCACGATCTTGTGCCCGAGCCCGTGATCCTCGAGCAGGCCCTCCGCGCCTGCCGCCGCGTCAACGACTTTTCCACGTGCGTGTTTATGTGCATGTGTGTGTGTGTGTCATGGTGCGAGGGTTTGAGGATGTGTGTGTGTGTGTGCGTGCGTGCGTGTGTGTGTGTGTGCAAGGATGAGACAAAGAGCTGTGAAACAGGGGAGGTTGTGTGTGTGTGTGTGAGGGTGAGGGCGAAGGGGTGCAGGGTGCAGAGGTCAAGGGTGTTTGATATGTATGATATGCGCTTGGAGCGTGCGCTTGTGTGCACGTGGTTTCTGCGTGCCTTAGCGTCTTGTATCCGCGTCAAGGCTTTGCTCTTCAACATGTGCCCACTGCAACTCACAATCTTCACACCCCCTTCCCTTTTTGTTTGACAGGTGCGTGCGTGTGTTTGAGGGCGTCAAGGACAAGAGCCCCGATGATGAGACATACAACTACGTTGTCGGCCAGCTGAAGCCCGTCATTGAGGAGCTCCAGCTCACCCTCCCCGAGGAGCTTGGCTTCCACTGAGCACCCTGCCCTCTGTGTTGTGTTTTTGTGTACATGCCATTGTCTCGTCCTATTGTAGTAAGTGATGGTGTGCGTGTTGCTCGTTTTGTGTGCGTGTGTGTGTACTTGAAGTGGGCGAGTGTTGTGCCTTGCAGAGCCGTTGTACATACCTCAACGGGTCTGCTTGGTTCGTCTTGTTGTCACGGGCGTCGTCTTCTCCACTGTTATCCCGTACGTGTCTCTCCTTGCTGCACTTGGCGTGTGGTGTTGCCGGTGGTTGGCTGGTCTTCGTGACGCTGTTCCGCGTGGGGCTAGTGCGCTCGGCACCCGCCTCATCTTGCCCTCTGCCACCACACTCGTCTGTCCTCTCCTCCTCCTCCTCCTCCTTGTTATTGTTGTTTCTGTGGATGTTGTTGCGTCGTCGTCTTGTGTGTCTGTGCGCTTCCCCCGCTCTATATTACGCCCCCCCTTTAACCGCAAGTGTGCGCTTCGCGTGCTGTCTGGGGCGTGCACATGCGAATACAGCAATCGAATCGACTCAGGGCGACTTGGGCACCTGGATATCTGGAAGCTGTTGTTTATTCATTGACTTCCACCAGGCAAAGAAAAAGAGAGACCACCTAACAGTCTTGACACAGAGAGACAGACAGACAGACACACGCACACACACCAACACACGCACACCAACACACGCACACACACACACACACACATATTGTGCAGGCTAGCTAGAGGCGCGAGAAGTATCCCTGCTCCATGACACCGACCTTGTGCAGGTCATCCTGCAGGACAGAGGAGACGCGCTCCAGCCCAGCCTGCTGCATGTCGAGGTGGTGCATGATGCCTTCGAGTGTCGTGTTGGCGAGCACAAACGACCGGTTCTGCGAACGAAGCTCCTCGCCGTACTGATTTGAGGTGTGGAAAGAGGTTGGGAGCGAGTTGAGGGGATGGAGGGTGCGGTGGGGAGAAGATGTGATGGTTGAGTGAGTGGTATGCACCAAAGCAGATGGACAGATGGAGAGACAGGCAGACAGACACAGAGGCGAAAACAGACAGACACAGACACAGACATAGACAGACAGACAGACAGGCAGACAGGCACAAATCAATCAACACAAGAGCGCTCCGAACCATTTCGACGCGGGCGTGGATCTCCGAGAGTTTTCCGCGGTAGAGGGAGGTGGCGTCCACATCCAGGGCCTCAAATCGCGTCTGCAGCGCCTTGTAGTCTTGGATGGAGCCCATGCGGTCCTTGGCAGCAGCCAGCCGCATCAGCTGTGTTGGTGTTGGTGTTTGTGTGTGTTTGTGTGTGTGAAAAACAAAACGAATTTGCGTGACTACGCCGTCCCGAACCAATCACACACACACACACACACACACACACACACACACACACACACACACACACACACACACACACACACACACACACACACACACACACACACACACACACACACACACACACAATACACACCCTGAGGACGCGGTGTGACTGCTTGACGGCTGTGGACATGATGGTCTCAATCTGCGCTCGCATCTCTGCCTGGCGATCGCTCAGCTGCGAAATGCGCTGGCTGATGCTCTGTTGCGAGGGGAGCCGTAAGGAAGAGAGTCAATGTGTGTGTGTGTGTGTGTGTGTGTGTGTGTGTGTGTGCGGTGGGAGGGGAAGAAATGCTTGTATGAGCACACGCAAGCGATGATCAGGACCAAACAGCAGCCATGGGGAATGGTGGGCAGCCGGACCAGCCAAACAAACGCGCATATGCAGCCGCAGCAGCGGCAATTGCTCCAGAACACACACACACAGACACACAGACACACAGACACACAGACACACAGACACACACACACACACACACACGCACACACACACGCACACACACACGCACACACACACACACACACAAAACCACACCCATGAACGTACCCCCTGCACATCGCCGGAGAGCTTGAGCTCGTGCAGCTCCTGCTCCTCCGCCTGGATGTCCGCGCGGCGCTTGAGGCCCTCGAAGCCGAAAATGGGCACCGGCACAAACTGCGTCGGGTCCGGGTTGCTGCGCCGCGCATCCTTCCACATCGACTCAGGGATGCCCTGTGCGTGTGTGTGTATGTGTGTGTGTGTGTTGTGTGTTTTGAGTGTTGAGTGTTGTGTGAACAACCGATGGAAGCATCACCCTTGTCGGCTTGTGCTCGCACAAAACCATCTCAGCCACATGATACAGCAGCCCAAACAACAACAACAACAACAACAACAACAACAACAACAACAACAACAACAACAACAACAACAACAACAACAACAACAACAACAACAACAACAACAACAACAACAACAACAACAACAATCACCACCACCATCACCACGACTGCAACCATCACCAGCCGGACCTTCGGGGGATGACGAAGCGTTGCTTCCATGCGCTCGCGCGTTTGTGAGACAATCGGGTAAAAGTCCTTCTTGGTGAACGTCTGCGTGCTTGCATCATAGCGCGTCTCAACACCGAGCTGTTCCATTGCCTGCACCTTTGCTGCGCTCGCGTTGGACATGGAGGCATTTCCGCCCAGACCAACACCCTTGCTCATCCCAAAGCCACCTGTCTTGGTGCCAAACGCACCGCCCAGCCCACCCGGCTTTCCAAACCTGTCCAGACCACACATATGAATTGGGCACCGTGGTCAAACCAAGCAGCGGCAACACACACACACACATACACAAACACACACACATACATACATGCGGCAGTGAATGGAGGGAAGCAGTTGCCGGACAGTGGACACAGTCGAACGGATAGGAACACAAAAGACAAAGACATAGATGAAGACAGGCAGGCAGATACACCACACACACAATTTGTGTGTGCGCGCGCACACACACACACACACACAACGCAACCACACATGCAACTCAAACAGACACACACGCACACACACACACACACACACAAATACACACGCACGAGGAGGTTGATGTTGGGGTGGCGGCCGCCTCGATGTAGATCTTCTTGAGCTGCGCATCGACGTCGCTCGCAGGCAGCGGCTTCTTCGTGTTGGTGTCCAGCACTTGGAAGATTATCTCCACACTGAGCACGATGTAATATGGGGGAGGGGATTGGGTTGGGACGTTGGTGGTGGAAGAACAGCACAGCTCCACAAGCGAGCGTGCATACAAAGAACACACACACACACACACACACACACACACTCAGACTACACATGAAACACACGCACACACACTCACACACGCACAGACACACACACGCACACACACACAGACACACACACAGACACACACACACACACACACACACACACACACACACACACACACACACACACACACACACACACACACACACACGTGCGCACACACGCACCATCCATCGTGCATCTGTCGAATGGTGTCGACCTCGACATTGTATTGGGCGCCGAGGCCAAGCACCTGCAATCAAGAGACATGGCGGTGGAGAGCAACACGCATGAGCGTTGACATGATGGGCTAGTGCGGACAGTTGTGACTGGGGCAGAGAGGCGAAGAAGCACGAGGCAGCACACGTATTGGCATCTTCCCTTCTCTCCGGTGGTGGTGGCTGTGGCTGTTGCCTTGCTCCATCTCACTCTCTCGTCTCACCCTCTCGGCTCACTCTCACCCTCTCTTCCACACACACACACACACACACACACACACACACACACACACACACACACACACACAGGAACAGACGTTGTCTTTGATGTGAGAGCCGATTTCATCCTTGAGCCCACGAATGCTCTCAATGTCGCCGTTGACACGCAGGCCAATCCGGCCTTCGCTGTCTGCGCTCTTGGGGATGAGGTTGTACACCACGTCCTACATCACATGTAGTCCAGTGCGAGCGGTAGACGGTGAATCAGTGAAACCGCGCACGCAAGTACCACACCCGTGCACCAAAAAAAAAACCGCTGGCCATTGGACGTCAATTGTTACCGGATGTTCATCAGCACCAAGCAGCAAACAGCAAGTGTAAAGCACAGAGCACGAAACACCGTGCACCATGCGTCGCGCACAGCATGTGGCCGCACCTTGAACATGTTGTATTCGTTGTCTGCCTCAACAGGAATCTTCTGCCATGCTTGATTTGGCTGTTCGCAAACAAGGTAGTTGCCACTGCCGCACAGCGCCTGAGAACACCCAGACAACCAAGAGCACACACACACACACACAGACACACAGACACACACAGAAGCAATAGCATCAGTACAGCGATCTTGCAAGGCAAACGCGCAAGTGCCTGTGTTCAAGCGCACTGTGGCAAACCCAAACGAACATTGCAGGTAGAACAACACGCGTGACCAGTTGAAGACAAGGGCTCACTGAACCAACACACTTGCAAGTGGTTGAGCTTCATGATGACGTAGTCTCTGTCATCACCAAACTTGAAGATGCGGTACTGGGGTGGGATTTGCATCTGCGGTTGTGGCATGCCCACGTTGGGTTGTTGCTGGGTAGCGGGCTGGAATGGCGTCACCGATGGCATCCTTGAGAACGCCGAGGATGTGGGAGCGAATGCGGTTGGCTTTTGTGCGAATGCCCCTGGTGTTTGGGAGAACCCAGGCAGGCCTCCTCCCGCGGGCTTCTGCCCAAACGCACTTGCAGTCTGCCCACCAAACGGGCTTGGCTTGGCACCAAATGCACCTTGTCCTGCAGGCTTTGCACCAAAGGGGCTTTGACCAGCTGTTGATGTTCCGAACGCGCCTTGACCCGCTGGCTTTGCACCAAAGGGGCTTGCCTGTTGCTGTTGGCCAAATGCACCTTGTCCTGCAGGCTTTGCACCAAAGGGGCTCTGTCCTGCAGGCTTTGCACCAAAGGGGCTCTGTCCTGCAGGCTTTGCACCAAAGGGGCTCTGTCCTGCAGGCTTTGCACCAAAGGGGCTTGCCTGCTGCTGTTGTTGGCCACCGCCACCGAACATTGTCGTCGTGTGTTGATTTTGAGTCCAGTAGACAACAGCACAAAGTGAAGGAAAACTGGGTTCTCCAGAAGAATGATCATTTCTTCTCATTTGGATTATCAACGGAAGTCTTCAGCAAACTTGGCGTTTTCCCGCCAAAAAAACCGTGTTGCTCTGTTCTCTTTCCTCTCTTCACTTTATCATCGCCCCAGCGCCACTGACCAGCCAACCACCACCATGTGCGCACCTGCACCATCAGCACCTCGTCCCCCCCCCCCGCCAAAAACTCAAGCGCTCCTCATGAGTTGTGACTGAGCTTTGTTGTTGACGTGGTTGGTTTTGGCGCCAACACACACAGACACACACACACACACACACACACACACACACCAACACACACACACCACCATGGCTGACGCGTTGATGAGCGATAGCGTGCCGCCACGACGACAACAACAAGGGAGCAGTGCTGCCACTGACGAGGAGGACGCTGTCCCCAACAAGGCAGCTGTCGTCATGGATACACGCCCAGACGACGCTGGCAAGGCCGGCACGCTGGGCCCCTTGGACCCGCCTCCACCACCCACAACATCGGCGACGATTTCCACCCCCAGCACCCCCGTGCCACCAACTGCAGCACACACGGATGACCCACAACCCGCCCTGAATTCGCCAAGCACAGCGGCATCGTCCTCATCCGCGTCATCGACAGCCTCCGCGCCGTCCTCGGATGCGAAGCGCGCGAAGCGAACCCCAGACACTGCAACCGCTTCCTCTACATCCTCTACCCGTCGCCGCAGCCGCCGTTTGCTCATGCAAGGGTCGTCGCCCTCGCCTCAGGAGCCACATGCGGCCTCCTCTCCATCGTCCACGTCCGGCACAACTGGCACAAGCGGCCAAGGCACATCGAGTTCTGGGAATGCAACACCATCAAGTCCTCAGCAGGATTCGCAGGATCAAGCGATGTCATCTCAAGAACAACAACAACAGCAGCAGCAAACGCCTTCGTTACTGCAGCCAGTAGCTCCTGCGCCGCCAACACCACTTCTGCGAGACCTCGCCGACCCTGTTGACCGCATGGCCAGCAAACACATCCCCTCGCACGCCCGCGTTGGTTTGCTTGTCTGGGTCAAGCAGAAAGGTTCCCCGGTACGTTTTTTTTTTGGGTTGCATCAATGCTCATGTGTCACTGCTACCCCTGCTTAAGCTGCTTCGTGTTGTGGTTAACTTACAACAATCACAAACGGCCACACACCCTAACACACACGCACACACAAGCACACACGCGCGCGCGAGAGCAAGTTCAAATGTCATGATGCCGCTTGCAATCCACTTGCAGACCACGTCAACCTAACTCTACCTGCTTCTTTCCTTTGTGTGAAACAGTTTTGGCCTTCCATGTTGACGTACGAGCCACACACGGGCAACCTGATCAAGCGCAACCCAAACGGCGATATCCGTATGCTGCACGTGCAGGTGAGGCTTTTATTCTCCTTCAACCTTTACACTACACGTGCGCGCCCATGCGTGTGTGTGTGTGGGGGGGGGGGTTTACCGCCAGATAGGACAGGACGTCTTTTCGAATTGCGGGGCCTTTTACTCCTACCTGTCACGCTTTCTTCTTTACGTGCCTCTCACTGTGTGCGTACACGCCATCGTCGTGCCCATTGCTGTTACCACAGTTCTTCGGCGACGTCATCACGCGCGCCTGGTCCAGCTACAAGTCGGCCATGCGGCTGTGGGATTACCAACAAGAGGTGCGCGCCTCCCGCCTCACTTGCACCGTGAAAACGAAATACTTGTTTGTTGTCTGTTCCTGCGTACTTGTCGTCTTCCATGGGTGAATGTGTGTGTGTGTGTTTGTGTGTGCTCGTGAGTTTATGTGTCTGTGTTTGTATGTTCGCTGTCCACTTGCGGCGTAGACCTATTGCCCGTGCTGCGCTGACCATGCTACTCTTTCCCACAGAATGGCGGATGGGAGCTGATCAAGGAGAGGGTGAAGCCGTCATTGCAGAAGGCATTCAAAATCTCCATGGAGCAAGCACGCAAGGCGGCAAGCATGTCCCTGCGCGAGCGGTGAGCTCCGCGGTTGCGCTCAGACATGCACTCCCCCTCTCGTTTTTGGTTTTGTTTTTAATTCCAAACTTGTACTCCCCCCCCCCAAACCACGCGTACACTCTTGCGGTTGTCAGCATGTAGGTGCCAGCTCACACGTTTACCTATGGCTGTGTCTCTGTGCGCATGTGTATGTATACATCAGTATCCTGGAGTGGACGTGCTTTGGCGAGTACGACGCACCGCCCGCTCCTGCCGTTGAGGAGCAGCAGCGACAGGACGAGGAGGAGCAGTCGAAGAAGCAGAAGAAGAAAAAGTCAAAGAAAGGTGCGACATCATACTCTGGAAGCTGTTGTGCGAGTCTTTTCAGCTGCTTTTTCGCACCCGCGCTTGCGTCGTGTTTGCTCTTGTCAACCCAGCACACTCACCACACATACACACATGCACCGCACGTGCTTGTTTGCTCACACTTACTCTTGTTGTCTGTTCACGTCAGATCGCGCGAAAGAGGTGGACGCCTCAGCACCGCCCAAGCCAAAGCGGTCAGTCAGGCCAGCCTTTGTTTGTGCTCGTGCTGAATCGTCTTGCTCTGCCATGCGTGCAATTGCCACTCTAATATGCATGATGCCCTGACGGTCACCCTTGTTCTTGTCGCCTCTGCAGGTACACGAGTGCCTTTTTCTACTTTCTCAAAGAGCAGCGCAACAATGACCCTGCACCCCTCAGCGTTACAGGTGGGTCTGTTCGATGTTTGCTGCACTGTGCCCTTGTTTGACGACTTTCCCCAATCTTCTCTGTTTCCATACCTTTCGTTCCCTTCTTTGCCGACCTGCGACTAGCGAATCCCCTGGCTTTCCTATCTATCTTCCCTGCCGTCTCCATCCTACTCCACACCTACCCACCTACCCACCTACCCACCTTCCTTTCCTTTCCTTGCCTCTCTTCTCTTCTCCGCACAATGGCGGTGCTCTGCCTGCCCCTGTTCCATGGGCAGTGCATGTTGCGAGTCACTGCAAAGAGCTGTCTGTGCGCACACCAAGGTTTCTGCGGACGATGGTTGTCCTGTCACACCCCACCTTTACCTGATGGTGTTGGCAGCAGTACCCATGTCTATCCGTACACCGCGCTTTCTTCGTGTCACCCACCCTTATTGCCCTTTTTTGTGTGTGTTGTCACTTCACCTCGTGTGTCCTCTCTGTTACATCTGCCTCCTGCGCGTGTCAGAGGCCTTTCTCGTCCTCAATGCGCAGAATGCGTGTTCAGCTCCTGTTTCACTCACGGTGTCGTGTCGTGTCGTGTCGTGTCGTGTTGTGTTGCCACCCTCATAGAATCCTCCAGGGTGTTCGGGCAAAAGTGGAAGGAGCTGTCCGACGAGGCCAAGGCGCCGTATCTGGAGCTGGAGCGGCGGGACCGCCAGCGGTACGCACGCGACATGGAAAAGTACAAGGAGCTGCTTGTGGCACACGCCAGAGAACACGGTGCCACCACCCCTTCCATGTCGAAGCTCATCAGCAACAAGCCAAAGCGTGGCCGATCCGCCTACATCTTCTTCCGGAAGGTGTGTGCCACACCTGTCCTGTGCATACGGCATTGTTGATTTCCATGTACGCATGTGTGTTGGTACGCACAGACGCATGCTCGTGCGTGTTGACTGCTCATGATTGACGTGTTCCTTGCACATGCGGCTGCGCTCCTGCTTGGCCATGACGCCGTGTCTCACCACGTGTACCAACGGCGCTTTTCAACAACTCCACCCAGGAAAAGGAGGAAGAGCTGAAGAAGATTTGCGCGACGCCGCAGGAGCTCTTGTCCAAACTGGGCGAAATGTGGCAGGCCCTCAGCGAGGACCAGAAGCAGGTGTACAAGGACAGGAGCGAGAAAGACAAGGTGGGGCACCGAGCTGCGGTTCACGCTCATTTGTTATGTCTTGCTCGTGCCCTCCCATGGAATACGAGTGTACTCTCACTTCTTGCATCACCCCTTCCCTCCCTCACCCACATGTACACGCACACACACTCTCACTCTTGCTGACTTTCGCATTGATACACATGCTCTCACGTGCGTGTGTGTTTGCGTTGCAGCTGCGGTACCGACGGGAGCTACTTGTGTTTGAGACAAACGCCGTTGTTGAGCTGGGCCGGCAGAAGGTCGAGCAGCTGCAATCACCGGAGGCGGCAGACGAAATGCTCCAACACATTCGCCTCACTCCGGTGAGCCAGCACTGATAGTCTGTGTGTTGATTGTTGGCTGGTATGTCGGTCGGCTGGTTTGCTTGGTCGTGGGTGAAAGCAGCAGTCTCTGCCGACAACGCTGCTCACACAAGATGTTCATCACACTGAATTTGTCAACAGGACTTGACCTTGTCTGGCCCGGTGCTGTTCACCCTCGAAACCTCCAAACGTACGTTGTGACGTCCACAAGGGCTCAACATTTGGCGGGAGCAATCCTGTTTTGCAGTTTTGGAAGAGGTGTGGTGGCCAGCAATCCTCGTGGTGTGCTTAACTGACGCCCTCGATGGTCGCCTTCTTTCTTGGTTTGTAGGCATAAGCGCGGACAGTGACGTTGCGGACACGGCCAAGCATGTACTTGACCAGTGGAACGCGCTCACGCAAGAAGAGCAACAGCAGTGGCATGCCAAGGCCGCAACCACCAGGAGAAAAGCGGCAAAACGCGCTGCTGTACGTTTGACTCTGCGTTACTTGGTTCACTGTGTGCTGCAAGATATGCAAGACCAGAGGCAGTCTTGTGCTTGTTTTGTTCTTCCAACGCGGTTTTGGCCCGATGTGCACCATACTTTGTGTGTCCCTCCCCATCCACGTTTTCTGTTTCCTTGTCAGTCTACCTTTCTTGTTCTCTTGTCCACGCTGTGTCTTTTATTCCCCTTTCCTCTCTTCTCTTCTCCGCACAATGGCGGTGCTCTGCCTGCCCCTGTTCCCATGGGCAGTGCATGTTGCGAGTCACTGCAAAGAGCTGTCTGTGCGCACACCAAGGTTTCTGCGGACGATGGTTGTCCTGTCACACCCCACCTTTACTTGATGGTGTTGGCAGCAGTACCCATGTCTATCCGTACACGTTTCTTCTTCCACCTTTTCCTTTCCGCCTTGGGCTTCGTTGTCTGTTCTTGGACGACTGGTGTTTTCACACCTCTTATTTGGGTCAGACACACACACACACACACACGCATTCACCCACAAGCGCTCTCCCTCTCTCGACCTCACACACACACACACACACACACACACACACGCCTTTCGTCATCAGGAGCGTGAGAGTCAGGAGGATGCGGACGCTGCTGCGGCCGATGGCGACGCGTCAACGACAGATGCAGGCGAAGACAGCAGTGTTGATGTGACGAAGCACGATGACTACTGCGGCATCTGCGGTGAAGCAGGCAACCTGCTGTGCTGCGAGGGTGGCTGCCTTAGCAGCTATCACCTCTTCTGCGTCGGGCTCAGCTGTGCTCCGCAGGGCGCGTTTGTGTGTGACGCGTGCACGACCGGCAACCACCTGTGCTTTGCGTGCGAGCAGCCCGGCGGCCTTGAAGGTCTGCAGACGTGCTCGGTCAGGAATTGCGGCAAGAAGTACCACCGCGCCTGCATCTCCAACAACCCACGCGCCGCGTACGTTTTCGCTTTGCAAGTGCAACCTATTGTATTACCCTCTTTGCTGCTCATTTTGTTTTGGCGTTTGTTTGGTTGTTGAGTGTGTTTGGATTGAGTTTGTTTGGTTGTGCGTATTTCGGTGCGGTGAAGCACGTGCTGTGCTGTCCGTGAGTCAAAGAGCTTACCCGTGTTTGCTGCGTATGCTCCGCTGGACAGACTGAAGGACAACTCGTTCAAGTGTCCCTTGCACAAGTGTGCCAACTGCACATATCCACAGGCGTCGACGTACCCTCTCGTCCGCTGCATTCGCTGCCCCATTGCCTATCACACGTGCTGCGTTCCCGCTGGCTGTCTCCATGAGGTGTGTGTTTTAGGGTGTGTGTGTGTGTGCATATGCTTGCGCGTGCGTTCTTTGTGCGTTCGCCATGTGCATATTCATGTTGCGTGTGCATCATACACATGTGCGCGAATGTTTGTGTGTGTGCACGTGTGCTGTCGAATAACGCGAACACTCACATTTCATGCATGTGTTGCGCGAACCCCCATGGACAGAATGCGATATATCTGCTGTGCCCAAAGCACCAGCCTGTGGAGAAGCATGCCAAGTCGAACATCTGCCTGGCGTGCGGTGATGGCGGCAGGCTGTTCTGCTGCGACACATGCCCTGCTGCCTACCACCAGGAGTGCCTGAAGGACGTGCTGGCTCTCACAGGCACCCCCTCGGAGGACTCGCCCTGGTACTGCCACGAGTGCCTTGGCGGTGTCAAGGCCACGGAACAGGACATTGTTTGGTATAAGGTGGGTTGCACTGTGTGTGCCTCTTTGCGGCTGGTGTCCAAAAAACAGTTGCTCTTCCTTTGCCCGTCTGCGATACCAATCTTCTGTCTCTCACCTTTGGTTCCTCTTCGGCCCTGCCACAACAACCGCGTTGTCACTCGCCCATTGGCCAGCTTGGCCAACACCGGTTCTGGCCTGCGCGCATTCTGGAGCACACGCAAATCCCAGAGGCGCTGCGATCCAAGCGGCCACCAGGTAACCAGCCCGTCATGCGTGCAGATGCAATACCTGTGTTGTGTGTGTGTGTGTGTGTGCGCTGTGCCGGTACTCTTGTCACTCTCTTCCTCTCCTTTTCTCTTCCTCTCCTTTTCTCTTCCTCTCCTTTTCTCTTCCTCTCCTTCTCTCTTCCTCTCCTCCCCCCTTCCCCCCTTTTCTTCTCTCTTCTTTTATGCACGAAGACACACAGCGCCCGTGGCGCGTTGCCGTTTTATGCGCGCACGCATCACACCGTGGGCGCCGTGCCTCTTTTGTAGTTTGTGCAAGAGCAACCATCATTGTGTGTGATAACTACTCTGGCGCGGGGCATTTTTTCACACCTGGCCAGGGATTTGACGCAGACAAACAGCACCTTGACCTTCCTTTTCTCGTTCTTGCTGTTGTTCTCAAACTTGTTTGTGTTCATGTTCCTTTCCTGGTTGCCAAACCTTGTTCAAAGTCCGCTCTTCTGCTACACCCTGCTTCGCCCACTTACCCTTTCCCTTGCTGACACCACCGTTTCCCTCGTGTGCACACCACATCACATCACGTCACATCACATCATTGCAGGCATTTGCTTCGCGCTCAACTTCTTTGGGACGAACGAGGTATCGTGGGGCCGCCATGACGCGTGCATCCGCTGGATGCGCGGTGACGAGAAGAGCCGCTTTTCCACCTCCAGAGGGAAACCCGCGTTCCTACACGCCCTCCAGGAGGCAGCCCTCGCTTACGATGCCGTGCAGGCTGACAAGGTGTGTGTGTGTGTGTTTGGTTGCCACTCGCTGCTCTGATGGACATGCTGTTCCCTACTCTGTCCCATTGTCTCTCAACCCACTCACCACCAATGCATGTTAACTTGCCGCTTTCTCGCGTGCAGTCAGCGATGCTTGAGGCGATTCGTGGTCGGATGGCAAGCAAGCCACCAGCCTTCCAACGTGTCCGCACAAACGTGTACACAATTCCACGCAAGCGCACGCCTGGCCAGGAATGCTGCTGCTCCCCTGCCACTGACACATGTGATGACGTGAGTGCTTTGGGTACCCGCATGTTGTCGCGCGTGAGCCGGCATGCCTGATGTTCGCTATCGTGCCAGCCTTGATGCTCTCAATTTGTCGCTTAGCTCACGTATGCTCTTGCAAACGTTGATCCTGGCATGTGTGCGTGTTCTCTGTCCTGGCACGTGTGGCCTTCCTTTGTGTGTGTGTGCCAGTCGTGCTTGAATCGGATTGTGCACTGCGAGTGCGATCCTAAGACGTGTCCTGTGAAGGACAAGTGCCAGAACCGCCGCTTCCAGCGTCGCCAGTACCCAAAGCTCATCCCGTTTCTCACACAATCAAAGTATTCTTTTGTTTTGTTTTGTGTGTGTGCGTGTGTGTGTACGTGTGTACGTGTGCGTTGCCACCTTCCTTGAAACGTCTTCCTTTCCCTCTCTACGCCTTCCTTCCCTTTCTTCTCTTCTCCGCACAATGGCGGTGCTCTGCCTGCCCCTGTTCCCATGGGCAGTGCATGTTGCGAGTCACTGCAAAGAGCTGTCTGTGCGCACAGCAAGGTTTCTGCGGACGATGGTTGTCCTGTCACACCCCACCTTTACTTGATGGTGTTGGCAGCAGTACCCATGTCTATCCGTACACTTGTCTTTCAACCACTCTTTGTTGTTTCCTTGCTTCTTGCGTCCCTCTTTGTCTTTGTTCTCATCCCTTTCCTTCGTCTGCCCCCCCCCCCCCGCTTCTCTTTCCACCTCCCGTAAAACCTTCCGCATCCTTTGCTTGGCTCACCTGCCATTCCTTCCCTCTGCCAATGTTGTGCGCATCTGGTCTAGGGGCTGGGGCCTCAAGGCCGGCGAGGACATTGCCGAGGGCCAGTTTGTCATTGAGTACGTGGGCGAAATCATCGACGCTACAGAGTGCCGACGCCGCCTCGCTGCGTCTCAGGCGGTGCGTGTGCATTGTGTGTGTGTGTGTGTGTGCGCGCGCTTGCGTGCTCGCGTGCTGCACTTACCTCATCGTATTTCTCACATCTTTCTCCCGCTTTTCTCTTTGTGCAGGCGAATGACCACAGCTTCTACATTTTGTCGCTCTCTGGCTCCAGCTTTGTGGATGCTCGGAACAAAGCCAACCTCGCCCGTTTCATCAACCACAGCTGTGGCCCCAACTGCGAAACACAGGTGTGTGTGTGTGTGTTTGTGTGCGTAGGTGTGCATCCTGACGTCATGTGTGGAACCGCGTTGTCGACTTGTCTGTTCATCGTCGTTCACTCATGCGTCGTGTTGACACACTGCGTGCAGAAATGGAACGTGCTTGGAGAGACGCGTGTTGGCATCTTTGCCAAGGAGGACATTCCCAAAGGAACAGAGCTCACATTCGACTACCAGGTTCGACACCATCACGTGCTAAGAATATTCTCTGCAAATGATTGCCCTTTTCAATGATTGTCCCGCGCCACACACTACTGCTATCGCTATCACTGTCGTCGTAGCCCTCACATACTATGTCGTGTTTTTGTTGCAGCTTGATTCCCTGGGCAGCCGTGGTCGAACGACGTGCCACTGCGGTGCAAGCAGCTGTCGCGGCGTCATCGAGAAACTGGTGTGTGCGCGTGTGTGATGTGTGTGTGTGTGTGTGGGGGGGGGTGTGGTGTGGCAATGTTTCGCGAGCTTCGCGAGTTTCGTGTGCACGGTTGGTGGTGTGCCATTCGGACTGGCATTCATGTTGTTGGTTGCTGATGTGTATGCAGGGACGCGAGGCTGCGCAGTCACGCGCGACGCCACTGGTTGGAGCCGACGGCCACGAGGACATTTGCCACAAGTGCCGCAAGCCAGGCACCCTGTTGCTGTGCGACTTTGAGGTGGGTTGTGTGCGTGTGCGTGTGGGTGTGTTTTGAGGGGTCACTGTGCACTTTGTGGTGTGATTGTGTGATTGCAATGGTCCGTGGTACACCATGTGGATTGCATACTCACTCTGCCGCACTCTTGCGTGTTGTTGCGCCCAGGGATGCCCCCGCGTGTATCACCCCGAGTGCGCTGGAGTGAACATGGACGACGAAGAGGACGATGACGATGAGCCGTGGTTCTGTCCTGCACATGTCACACCAACAAAGTAGAAGGACGCCCGATGCACACATGCTGTTTTGCATACATTCATCATTGCTGTTCGTTTATTGCTGATTTCACCGTCAACCCCATGCCTTGTGTGTCTTGAAGACCGAGTGGGGTGCATAAGTGATCAAAGACCCTACGTGACGTTGTGACAACGCGCCCACTGGTTGTGTCGCTTCTCCATTACAAATTAAAGTAATCGCCCAACGCAAGAGCACGAGTGTGTGTGTGTGTGTGTGTGTGTGTGTGTGTGTGTGTGTGTGTGTGTGTGTGTGTGTGTGTGTGTGTGTGTGTGTACTCACAGCTCGAGAGTGGCGCAAGCACAGCCGCCAACCGTGGTCACGATCGAAACACGGGGATGATGTTGTCGACGTGTGTTCGGCAGACGGGGCAGCGGTGCTGTGACCGTGGCAAGTCCAGCAACCGATCAGCGCACATGGAGCACATGCACATGTGTCCGCACGGCTGCAACACAAGAGGAGGTTGAGGGAGGAAACGGATGAGAGGGTGAGGAGGGTGGAAATGAGCAAAGGTGATGCGAGATGCATGGTGCATTCGTCAAATGGTTCAACTTGGGCGCTTACCACAATCACAGTGTCGCAGGCATTGTCGAGACAGACGTTGCACTGGTTGAACGGTTGGGACGAGGGGGAGGAGGGGGAGAGGAAAGGGTTTTGGTGAAGGAGTGTGAGCGTAATGAGAAGGGCGTAAGGGAGGACAAAGAAGGTGAGCAGACACACAGACACACAGACACACAGGCACACAGTCACACAGTCACACAGTCACACAGACGCAGACACAGGTACAGACACACACACACACAGACACAGGCACACACAGACACACAGACACACACAGAGACACACACACACACACACACACACACACAGACACGCACGTTTGTGGGGGATTCGTTTGCTTCGTCGCTATCTCGTGCCGCTTGCTCTTGCTGTGCGCGGTGTTGTCGCAGCACCTGTCGCCGCTCCTGCTGCTGTGCCCTGTGTTGGCGCACGGCGTGTTGTTGCTGTGCACGCGCCTGCATGATGCGTGCCATCTGCCTCGCGCGCTCCTGCTGGGTATGGAGACGCCGCAGTTCAGAGCGGACAATCGCCACCACGCACAGCGTGCCCAGCGTCGCGCACAGCAGCAGCATCACACGCCACAGCGACGCCCGCGCTTGCGCACTGTGGCGTGCGTGTTGTGAATGTTGCGATGTGGTGGGTTGTGCGTGCGTGCGTGTGCGTGCGTGCGTGTGTGCGTGAGTGAGTGAGTGAGTGTGTGTGTGTATGTGGGGCTCCAAGAGTCAATCCGTCAAACTGCTGCCACAAACAGCAAAGCAGATGCTCATCCCTTTGTCGCCACACCTGTTGATGACATCTTGCAGCGTGTCGCGGGTAAACAAACTGACGCCTCTGCCGCTTGTGCGCATCATCAGCCCGCGGCTCGTCAAGTAAAACTCGCCTGTTCAACACGGTCATACACACACACTCATCACAGTGAGTGGGGCGAAGAAGCAGTCCACACCTCATCAGCAACAAAGACAATGCGATGCGATTAACGCCTCGTGACACGTGTGTGTGTGTGTGTGTGTGGCGGCAGTACCGATGCCAAGGACGTTGAGGCCAACAGGCACCGTCTCATCAACAGTCTCGTATCCCTGCTCACGAGTGTGCATGTGTGTGTGAGCATATGTGAGCATGTGTGAGCATGTGTGTGTGTGTGTCAGTGTGCATGTGTGTGTCAGTGAGCTTGCTCTATCACTCATTGCAAACCGCTGCAACCCGGCATAGGCGCGTATTCACACATACAGACACACGCGCAAGCAGTGGCCAGCACATGGCTGCATTCCGCCTCACCACGATGGACCGTCCCGCCACAGACGAGAAGAGCGCCGCAACGACACCCTGCAGGCACGACACACACACACACACGCACACATTTATACACACACAAAAGAGGCCGAATGATGAGGTGATATCGGCATGCTCGATGAGCGAGTGCAGTGCAAGCTGTGAATGACAAAACCAAGCCACAGAAAACATCATACGCACCACGTTTGCGGGCTGGAAGTTGTTGTTGGTGACCTGATATGGCAGCTCCCAACTCCCTCCTTCAACCTGAGCACTGTGTGCGCGTTGTGTGTGTATGTGTGTGCATATGTGTGTGCATGTGTGTATGTTGTGCGTGTCAAGTGTCAATGAGAAGAGCAAGGGAGATGGCCAAAGAGCGAGTATGCCTGCGTGCTTTGCCGAATGCTCGTCGACACAGCACATCATCCACCGAGCCAACGTCGATGGCAAGGCTCACCTTGATGAATGGTCACGGAAGACCATGTTGCACACGCTCTCTTGCTGCGACAATTTTGACCTCTTGGCAGACCTACGCATCCCCCGTTGTTTCGTGAGCGGTACACAACCACAGCATCATTGAGGCCAAAGCATACACCAGAAGCAACAGGAACTGCGTGTACACACGCATACACACGCACACACACGCGCACACACACACTACTTCACTGACCAAATGCCTGACGTGCGCGCGGATGAATGCTCATAGACGGTGTTCTTCCACGCCTGCATCAGAAACGGTGCACAAAACAAGGGACAAGGTTCAGTGGCTGTACTGTTGCTACAAGCCAGCACACTCACACGCGTGTTCGTGCACTGTGTGCCTGTCTGGTACCATGTCCACACATTGCACACAACCCCAGCATTTGCCAAGAACCCCTCTCAGCACCTCACACACACACACAAACACACACACACACGCACGCACGCATGTACACTATACACAATGCACACTGACCATGACGTCTTGGTCGTGGACGCGCAGCGGCTTTCCATCGGGCTCCAGCTTGCCCAATACAGCTGCCAGCAGTGGCTTGGAGCCGTTCTGTAGCCGCTGTGTAATCTCCGCCAAGGACATCATGCGCACGGACTGCGAAGAGGGAAGAAGGTGGGGTTGGGAGTGGGGTGAGATGACGCACAAGGTCATGCACGCACGAGTGCAAGCATCAAGTCATGCACGCACGGGCGCAAGCATCAAGTCATGCACACACACAGACACACACACACACACACACACACACACACACACACACACACACGACACACGCACACACGCACACACGCACACACACACACAACACACACACCCCCCGACACACTCACAGACACACCGGAGACACACACACAGACACACACACATGCAGACACAGATCACACCTGGAGTGTGGGGGGCACGTGGGCAGACCACTGGAGCTTCATCCATGCTCCCCCAGACAGCAGCGATGAGA